GAAATCGGAAATACTTATTATTGGACAGGGCTTTGACTGGAATGTCATATCTGAAGATTAATTAGAAAACTATAGAACTAAGGTGGATCTCAATTAAGCCAACAGAAGCTCTTAGAAAGATGGCCTGGTACTATAAATAGTTCTGCCTGGCAGAGAGGATTAGAGAAGATACATGAAAGAAGTCACAGAATACACTTGGGCAGGGCCGAATTGAGAAGGTTTATGTGTGACTAGTGTGCTGGGCATTTGCTTTTCAACAATTTGAGTAGCTGACATGTAAATATTTTCTCAAAAATATTTAAAACCATAGTGTTTCTGTTGTTATAGAGTCACAAACAAAATTATACAAAATTATAAGAAATATTTTGAAACTTTGAAAGTTGTTTATTAACTTTCAAGGACTATAGAGTATGAGTTAAAAAAAATTTTTTTTGGGGGGGGAAGGTGTTTGCTATAGGGCTCGTGTGCTCACCAGAAAGAGACAGAGAGACAAAAGCGAGAAATCATCCCCCAATCCCTTCTCCTCCATTCTTCTCTTGGGATCTTGGGCACGCGCACACACACGCCGCCGGGTATGAGTTTAAGCCACCAGGTCCAGGACTCGAACTGTGTTCAACTACATGGGAGTTCAGGGACATAGCCATTACGCTAACCACTGGTCCCGAGTTAAAATTTTTTGGTATGTAAAGTAAATGTTTGTGGAAAAATGTAAAAATAAATTTTAAAAATGGTAGTAAATATATGTAAAATAAATCAAAAAGAAAAATTAATTTTATTCATGAATTCATTTATTTTAATTTGACCAGAGAGAGGGGGGAGGGAGGGAGAGAGAGAGAGAGAAGTGAGAAAGCAAGTTGCAGGTCCAGGACTCAAACTGTAGTCAGCCATGTGGGAGTCCAGCACCCTTAACCACTATGCCACCTGCCAGCCCCAAGAACAGTATTTTCAGCATGTAAAAGAGAGTCTCATATCCACAGGTGGATCAAAGGATGGTCCTGTTTTTCAGAATATCTCCAGTGTGACATTATTTTTTTTAGAGAGAGTTTTTGTTTTGTTATAGGGTGTGTGTTCTCATCAGAGAGACAGAGACAGAAAGCAAGACATCACCCCCTAGGGGGATAGCCACATCACAATCCCTTCTCCTCCATCCTCCTCTCAGGATTTTGGACATGCATGCACACATGCCTGGTGTGAGTTTCAAGCTGCACCACCAGGTCCAGGATTGAACTACTGTTGACTACCTGGGAGTCCTGTGTTGTAACCATTACGCCATCTGCTGGTCCCTCCAGTGTATATTATTGATCTTCCAATGAGGGCTGTTAGGTGACCCCACAATTTTAACATTTTAAAAAAGACATTTTCACACCTATTTTTCCTGACTGTTAGGTAGTAATATCCACAATTAACAGATGAGAAAACAGACTCAGATGGTAAGTGACTTACCCAAGATGATCATTGAATGGAAGAGATAATTTTCCTATACTGACCCTCTGGGCTGGAGGATCTCTTCCCCCAGGCGGTCTCTCTAGGAAGAATTCTGATACTTGGCCCCTTCCCCGCAGTTTAATTGCTCTTTCATGTTTCCTAGTAAGTCTGAGAGGAGACAGAGAGGCTAGCACCTGCATATGGAAAACTCCCCCCAGGTGATGCTTAGCTCATTTTTCACGTTGTAGAGGACACTATGTAGGTCAGAAAAGAGCTCCCTCAGAGCTCCAAGGAAACAGGAATAATGGGGTCAAAATTCAGAAATCCATTTTTCCTTAACCTGCTTTTCTAGGAGACAACATCCACCCTTCATTAAATTTCTAAGGACAAAGCCTGATGGTTAAGAATGCTGGATTCCCATGGCCCACCATGGTTTGGGTTCTGGGCCCCAGCTTGAAAACCATGCTGGGCACTTATGCTTGTGAGCACCAAATTCTGGCAGGAAGGAAAAGTGGAGAAGATATTTCGGCTGTGACTGATCCCTCTCTCTCCTGCTCTCTTTCTGACAAGTGTAGGATACTCTTTTGCAATTAAAAACAAAACAGACTTTAAAGAGTTTGCCTTTTGATTATGTACATGTGTGAGTATTGCTCTGGGATGAGGCGAGGAGGCTGAACTGGGCCTTGGTGTGGCACCTAGTAAGCCCACCTCTTGGAGTGCCGCTGGAAGCTCCTCTGGCAGGGGAGCTGGGATTTCTTCCTCTGGAAAATGCCTATAAGGTTCATTAGGTAGGTACCACCTGTGATCCCAGCGCCCCTTCTCCTACAGGGTCAGAGACCCTCAGGAAGATTCGCTCTGGAGGGAGACTGACTCCAGCCTCTACCCAGACAGAACCCACGGAGCAGACTGGTGGTTTGAGGAAACTGACACGTGCTAGACACCCCCATTCCAGCTCTGTTTCCGTGAGCTTCTCACTCTGAAGGTGTGGAAATGGGAAGGAAGGAATGACTAAGAAAGGAACTGACTGCCAGGGGCAGAAGGTCAGAAGCTAATGATCTAAATCAGAACAGACTGTGAGCAATCCCACAAAGCTAGGTATAAAACTCTCCAACAAGGCTCCATTTTCTTAAGCTGCTGCAGCCTGGGCTTACTTGACTTGGGGTGGCAAGTGAGGAAGAAAGCTCTTGCAGCACTGCAGACTGCTGGGGTTCCTTGGGCAGTGTTCTGTTTTATCACCAAGGGCCACTGGGTGAACCAGCTCCTGCCAACGCACGGGAGCAGAACACGCTGAGGCTCTGACACTGGCTGCGGAAGGATATTGGCTACTCGACTACTGTCGAGCAAAAATGACAAACGTAATTCAATTATCATTATTACTTGAGCCACGGAAGAAATTTGTGCTGACAGAATTCTTTCTGTACCAAAGACGCGACCTGGATTGGAGCACTCGCACGTGTTGAGACCATCTAGCCAAGGACAGGGAGCTGTCCCCAGGGAGAATCTTTATCCCGGGCGCAGTCGAGCCGCTCAGCCGGCCCGCCATCACCTGGCGGGACCCGGCCACCCCCCTC